TGCAAAAATATTTCTCTGAAGTAGATTAAGTTCTGAAGACTTTCGATGACCTCCGTGGTGGAGAGGCACACCAGTTTTCATGGTGACGCCATCTCTGATCTCTAAATATTTTTTTTACTCATAAAAGCACTAGGGAACCTCTGTATCGGATGCCATGGAAAGACACATTGACAACCTCAAATTACACTCACGAGAGAAATAAATGTAGGTCGCACAAATATTTCTACCGGGAGGACTGCGTGGCAGTCCAGGATGGTAACCGTTCGGCCACAGACGCAGCTAAAAAGAAAATTTAGTTTTTCTCTCAATATAAAAAAACCAACTTTTGCATAATTATTGTCTAGGGACTGGGTGTTTGTGGTACCGTCGTTGTTTCCGATTTCCATAACACAAGTGCTATTGTTACTTACTTTGGGATCAGAGCAACGTGTATGATGTTATCTAGTATTTATATTTAACTATTTATTCAAGAGAATGTATAGAAGTAGACTGCACTACTGCGAAACTACTATTGTAAATGCAATCATTCTGTAAATATATGATGTAATAAAACGGAACAACCCACATAAAGTAAAAGATACATTATGTTTGCTTTTTAATTTATGTTTCAGAAAACCCATTTTCATAATCTGGCAACTAAGTGCCAATGCGCTTATAAAGGGAGAAAGTTGAGATGTAGTGAAAATGATCTAGATCATTAAAATTAATGAGATCTGTATTTAGGGTATTGTGGTAATCGGCAGTTTCCGATTCCTGGACTTCCAGGTATAATTATCGACGAAGATGAATAAGCTATATTTGTACTCAGGTACACATCATGTATTAGAGGTTATATGTTTAACACCTAGAGTGGTGAATCTTTTAAGGATTTATACCATTACGACACTAAACCACGGCTTGATTCAGTCGTGGCTTGGCTTTACACGTCTTGGAAAAGTAGTTGTATCTCAGGGTCATGCAGATTGACCTTTTTTTACTATAAAAACAAACACCGTTCGTTATATTTGTGAGGGTATTTGTTCAACTAAAATCTATACCTTTGTTACAACATGTAACAAATAACAAAGCAACTTCAGTACGAAAAGGAATAGGCGATAAGGTTCAGGAGTTGCAATCTCCGGCGAACTAAATACCGGTTTTGTACAAACAAAAATTACATTAAACAGTAAACAATGTTAAGTTATTGCAAACGGTTGCACATAGTATCAATTTATTGGGTTAGAGGCATTTAAGTCTGCAGCGACCGTGGCCTTTGCAATGTCGGATGCTGACACGAAAATGTCAAACTACTTTTATAGTGATTTGGCACTTTCTTACTCGAAAGGCCCGTACCCAAGTAATATATCAAAGAATGTAATCTGAAGCAGAAAAAAAAAGAAAATCGTGTGATAATGAAATTGATTATTTTAATAGTGCTGAGTTGAGTCCGCGCCGGCTAGTAATGCCTATAAAACGTCATTCAACGTCGTTTTACTCAACATGCACTGATAATGTGGCGCGGTAGTGCTATACTAAAACCACGTCTCGCGTCCACATCCGTGAACAGCCACTCTGACCTAATACAGTCAGGGATTTCACGAGCCTTCAGAGTTTTTTCAACTTTCTCCGACATTCAGGTTTAATCAAGCAAGTGACAATTAATAAACAAAACCGTAAGCGACACTTATGTCCATAGCAGCTGCTGTGCCACTCAGAGCTTTAAATCGTAAAGATCTGTACCTTATTATTTGTATGAGAAACTCACTTGGTCATCCATGGTAAACTCTTTCTTTGGAGCAAGGTCGACACGGGTGTTTCGGTTTGTAATCCCCCGGCAAAGTACCGCTGCATTTAGAGGGAGTTTCCGATACTAGCCACTCGTTGTTGGCCGTAATAGCGTCACAAAAAGAAATTTCAAGCAGAAGCTGCAAGAGTACCTTTTAAATATGCAGAAATTGGAAATATGAGTGGCCAAGGTGTTTAAGAAAGAATAAATAAATAAAAAATAAATAAATAAATTGGATGAAATAAAATTGAATTGGATCGAATTAAATTGGTTAGAATTTTAATTTAATTAAATTGGTTTTGTTTTGGGTTCTTACGAGTGGCGTCCCAGTCCTATTGGGTCCTGGCAGAATACCATCGTCGCGGGCAGCCGCGTCATTTATGCTGAGTCAGCGCCTTTTCATTGCCATGGCTTCCAAGAGAGATATTAGTGGAATATATTACAGTGTTACGTCTAAGTTAATGTCTGTATCATGTGTCTGTGTATGTATTTATCAAGGTGGTGAATAAAGGTTCTATCTATATATCTGTAAGATGTCACATGTGCTTGTATTTCAATCTGCACCCTTATCATCCAAAACCGGAACACGGTAATGTAAGTAAGGTGGCAGTGCTTCCCTGGACGAACTCTTTCACAAGGAGCTCAACTGCTAAAAAAACTCGTCTCGGACATCCTGTAACAAATGCAGGCATTCGACGGAACTTCCTCTCTTGCTGGCCCAATACCGCAAGAACTACAGCATAAGTAGGTAATATTATTAATGACAAGCAAACTTTAAAATATAAAACTAGATAACTAATTACATAATAAATCACTTGTTAATTTCTAAATGAGAATCATTAGTGATTAATGACAATAATCAGCACTACAGAATGCACTTGGCAACTGATAATATCCATTGTTATTAGAGAACAAGCACGCCATGCAGTCGGATATACATGAATTCATACAATGGATACATCATTCATCATTACCGATTGTATATCGCATTACTGGCGATCTCAAAATTCCGTAACTTTAGCCAATCGTTCAGCCATTACTGCCATATGTCCATACACGCAGAATTCGCCATAATCGCCGAGCTTGGCAAGGTATTTTACTGTCGTAGGAAAGTAGCAGGGGAAATCTCAAAATTATACGACCCCAAACACGAGTATGAGAGAAAACATTTCTTCAGAAATGTATCTTAAACACGTTATATAATTTACGAGTGGTATGGTTTATGGCACAGTCTTCCGTCTACCGCGCTTAATTATACACAAATCCGTCAAAGTGCTTTATCAATAATTGTACCTTACGTCATTTGAATAACGCTTAAATTTGCCAAGTTTCTACTATTCACTACTAACTAAAGTACACATGAAGGTGCTGCCAATTTCATTGACGTACTAGAATATGTCGTGCAAGTATGTACACACCATTATTAAATGTTGTTTATTATACAAACCCTTATGCATGCGAATTTCAAACAAAAACTTAATAATTATTAATATTAATGAAGTAAATTCCATTCACACGAACTTCAATTAAAAAGAAGGAAATCATCGGTATTCACTGATGATACCATTAGTGCATAAAAGTCACTAACAAATAGGAAAAGCATATTAAATAAATGGCATTCAATAATGAACGTGGTAAATTTCTTACAATCACGCCAATAAAAAAATACGTGTATTGGGATTTAATCTTAGGCCCAACTTCACGGATATAGAAAGAAAGAAAACATTGAACTTTGCCAAAGTTTACCGTTACCGTAAACCTAATTTCCAAACCGGTACTAGAACAACACTAGTTCAACGAGCAAAAGGGCATAGCTGAAAAAAGTACCTGCCCAACCCGTTCTAAATAAAAAATGAAAACAGGAAAAATAAAGACTCGACATTATACAGCCAACTTTGTCATATAAACACTTTTAAACAAAAACGTGCTCCATTCTTACACAATTAAAATAAAACTAGGGAAATCAAGTTCTATGATAGAATTCTGCAATAATCCGACAAAATTGCATTGTAACATTACACGTATATTGCAGCCATATGAATAGATTTCACTACAAATAAGTCGTATTCTACAGAAATATGTCAATTAACTTTCTAAATCGTGCCTACGTTGCGTGGAATTCGGAGTTTATTCATGAAAAAACGCAAAAGAAGCGTCAGTTATTGTTGTATAGGTAGCGAAATCTAAACATATGGTTACCACATCTACATTGTAAAACAAAGAAGACATACCTTTTGGTACAGCAAACAAAATTCGTCACTCCACTTTAATACAGCAAACGCTATAAAATAACACTTCGGTAATTGTGTCTTTTTCTCTTCAAATACATTATTACACTGTATTATTCAGTACGGACGCGTGAAACGCTGTCCAAAGGTAGAATTCAAGTTGATTTTAATCACGTTTCTCGCAAATATGCGAGCGTCCTCCGCCCGCAACTCACACAAACTGAAAATGTCAGCTGGCTCAAGTCCATTCCCATTGGTAAATCGATTGAAAAACAGACAATTAACCTATATTCGTCTCTTTCTAACTTCCTATGTACCTCGCTTGCACTAGTCGATGATGAAGCGACCTTGATAGGCTTTTTGACCAAATCATAGCTTTGTTACTAAAGATTGATTTTGAAATATCGTTTGTTAAACCTAAGGTACATGATTTTTATGGGTTATGTTGAAAAAATGCAAGGATTTGGCTAATTACGATCATATGGGAAACAAAGCAATCTGTCAAAAATATCAATGCATGCAACAACAAAGAAAACAGCATATTGACATCAGAATCCTGGCTAGAGATTGGTCGCCACTCAGCTGTTTTTGACATTGGACGCGTTGTAACGTAGTCAGTAAAAGTTGATCAAAATTCTCCTAGATGGCGCTAGGAATATACAAACAACAACAAAAATAGACACTAATCTACGTTAAAATTATTAATAAGCATTATATTTTAATGCTTTATGTTTAATAAATATACACTTTTACATTCATAACAAATATGTTTTAGAATATAATATATAAGTAGGTAGTTTGACCAAAAAAGTTAGTTTTTGTTATGACTACATGAACATGGTAACCATGGCAACTAATGTGCTTGACTATATTATAACTCTACTAAATTTAAACAGTTTGAACTTGCATACACATTGACTCAAAGCAAGGATGTTTTTATTTTTATTTATTTGCAAATGTCAATGGTCAGAAATTTGTATTTTAAACTTAATTTAAAGTGGATTATAATGGAGGCAACAGACTTATTAGCGCGAGAGGAGGAATTTAAAAAGTTAAATAAACAATTGGAAAAGAAAACTGAAAGTTTGATGAAGCAAATCGAACATGCTATGGTTTGATTTTTCTATCATTTTGTTTGTCGTCGGAGTGGATATCAGTTTTAACTAATTGTTTTTTTTTATATATTTTCAGCAAAAACAAGACATATTCTCTGAGTTTTCTCACAACTTAACTCTATCCCCGCACCATATATCCAAAAAACATTACTGTGATACGCCGAAAAGTACACCAGAACAAACTACAAACAATACCCCCAAAAGCACTCCAACGATTAAAAAGAAGAAAGCACCAATCAAGGAAAACAATTCAAATAAAGAACACGATGAAACAGAAAGTACAAAAAGCAACACAAATTGTGATCTGAACTACATAAATAATACAAACAGCACAAAAATTATTTGCAATTGTTGTGCTGTATCCGCAAAAGACAGGGTACATGACGATTTGGAGTTTCTATATGCATTTGTATCTGTTAGTGTCCAAGAGAATGTACTGCCACAGAGTTTTTTAAAAGGTAATATTTTTTTGCACATATGTCATACGGTTGGGTGCGGTTACAAAAAAAGGAGGGGCCAATAAGTGCCTACACAATTACTCGATTGCTATTTTGTTAAACCATTATATTAAAAACTATTTGCTTAATGATAATAAAATATACTACCTCCATGGCTGAACAGTACCATGTCGAACTGCCACGCAGCGGTCCGTGAGAAATATTTGTAGGGTCTAAATTTTTTTCTCTCATGAGTTGGGTATAATTTGTGGTTGTCTATGTGTGTGCCCGTAACACCTGTGATACAGGATTTCCCTAGTGCGGGACTATGAATGTGTGCGCATTATTATTGTTTCATTGATAATTGAAATAAATAGACAAGCCATTTGGCACTTTTTTCAAACAACTTTTTATTGTATATTGCCAGAAAAATCTTGTTGAAATTATCCCGTGTGCTGCACAACTTAACTGTTACGTAAACTATCACCCTTCCCGCATAGTGCAGCTCCCTCAAAAATTAACTCAGTCAAACGGTTGTAGTTGTAGTTTGTTTAAGTTATGTATGCCAAACTAGGAGCACACCACTGCTCTACTAATTGTGCTACATATTGAATCAGGAGACCTTATGAATTCTCTAAACGTTTGTTATACATCTTTTTGTATTGAGTTTTTTTTATCACGTTAAGCGACACTTAATGAGTCAGGTGTCTTGCTGGTCAAATTCAAATCATCCTTATTTCATAGGTAAGCTAATTACATTTGAAATCGTCATAATCGTCATTCGTAACGCGATTCCCCTTAGAAACTGAAACTGTTAGTATACTCTTTGTAAATATACATTTGAATACATTTAACATTTACATTTATTGCCATTGACTTACAATTATATGGACGTCGGGTCCGCGCTAAAAAGTGTCCGAACTTATAGGGCGTTAAAATCGTATACAGAGCGTCATTCACGCTTTAGTCTTCGTTTGTTCGACTGACAGCGAAGCAAGCAAAATTAGACAGTACTAAGATAAGATAAGATAAGATAAATTTATTTCAATATTACTTAATCTAATACAATTATAATGAAAACAATGTAATTGAAGATAAAATATTAAAATAAACAGTAATAAACAAAACAAAAAAAAAATCTAAATTATATAAAATAATCATGATAAAATTAAACATTTTAATCTTAGTGCCTAATAGTGCAATTGCGATGCCTAAACTAAGTACATGTGTACCTGTATTTTAGGCATATTAGTGCATTTTTCATAACAAAGCTTAAAAAAAATAAAGATTTTATAAATTTAACAAATAAAAGATAACTAGTTATAAGTCGTTACAATTTATGTACTGCGATGACATTACAATTTAAATTCAACGTTTTAGCTTTTTCATATTCCTTTACATGTCACTACGATTAAATAGGTTGACTTGGGACATTTTTTTCGTGGTTTTAGTATTAGACCCGTCCATTTATTTGTAAGTCAATGTTTATTGCAAACTATCTGCAAGTCGGTCTAAACAGGTCACTACTACGGATTTTTGTGATCCAAGTACGCAGAAGCGTGACAAATTTTGAATGTCACCCGGAATCTTAATAAAGAAGTGTATATATTGCCTCTTAAATGAATTTGTGTCTTTATGAAGACAACTGTCAAAAAAACATATAGTCGAATTGAGAAACTCCTCCTTTTTTGAAGTCGGTTAAAAATAGCTGGTTTATTTTTATTCCTTGTCACTATTTTTCAAACAAATTACTATTGTTCTTAACGTAAATTACAATTTCTTAAATGTACTAATAATATTAATCTCTATAAATAAATATTGTTTTACAGACATTAATATTATTCTCTGTAAATATGAATATTTATCTCTCAGAGACGCTCTGGGGCCCTGATTGTAAATTGCACTAACCGCATGTTTCTGCAGGATAAGATTCTGATAATATCGGCAGCCCTAAAGCAAAAAACTGTACGACATTATACTGTGAAAGTGGCTGAAGTAAATCAATGTCTGCTACATTTCGAAGTCTTGAGAAATTTGGGTTTTTTATATCTTGTATACTGCAGAACTCAGCCGATCCAATCAGATTCAAGGATTTTGTCTTTGTGTTGTTCACTCTCTTTTAAATTCATAGCTGCCTCAGTGGCCGAACGGTTGCCATGCTGGTCTGCCACGCAGAGGTCCCGGGTTCGATTCCCGGGCCGGGAGAAATATTTGTATGGCCTACATTTATTTCTCTCGTGAGTTTTGGTGTAATTGGTAGTTGTTTATGTGTGTGTCCATGGCACCCGCAACGCAGGGTATCCCCGGTGCGGAGCTAGGAGTGTGTACGTTATTTATTTATTTATTTTTTGTTTCAATAATAACACAACTCATTACTTTGGGAATAATACTAGCGTTCTGATGTTTAAGACGTGAAGAAAAATTCACCTAATGTTATGCAGTTAAGGTGGTAAGATATTGTCAGTAGAGCAAATTGACTCTTTCTACCAAGTGCAGAAAGTTCAAATCCCCTTTGATGTACGTTTCTTGCTTTCAGAGCGAGCCACAGTGGAGAACGTATGCAAGTTTTTATCAAACAAAGTGCAGTTGATGCAAGAACATATCGACAAATTGCAGAACACAATTAATAAAAAGGTAATTTTGATGTGACTACTTTACAGGGAATGTTCTCTGAAGCGATATTAATATCTGGATAATGTATTTTTCTGTGTGTACTAGTCTAAACTTGAGTTCAACACTACAGTACAGAATGTGCATGAATGTAGCATATTCCTGGGGTGCGATCGGGACAAGCACACTATTGTTACCTACAGGAATTTATCCAAGGTTCTACAACTAACGAAGGAAACCAACACCAAGTCTTAACATTGATAAGTAATAAATGCACCTCTTAAGTATACTAGAATTACATGAACCACGCGGGGTTACTACCCTAACTAATCTAGTGACGGCGTTGAGCTAAAGAGTAGGTTTACGGGGTATAAGGGTGAACAATTCGCATGGCCTGGACACATCTTGTTCACGCGCAGCAATTGTTCCCCCAACACAGGAGACGGACAGGGGTTAGGTGGGTATGCGGGGGTGAGGGGTGAGCGATTCGCACGGCCTGGATATACCTTGGTCACGCGCAGCAATCGCTACCCAACCCAGGAGACGAACGGGGGAGGATAGTCCCTACGGGGGGCGAAAGACGAGCAATACGCACGGCCTGGGCACACCTTGGTCACGCGCTGCAACAGCCCCTCAGCCGGTGGAGGTTCTTACTGTAGTAAGCCCCTCCAACGACGTGGTCACTCGCTCCGGCTGGCGGCCTTTTACAGTCTCGTCTCCGCTTACGGCGGGAGTCCCGCGCGCGCTTTTTATTGATATAATTGTATTAATAATTCATGTATGTATGCTACTTCCGTGATCGAACGGTTACCACGCCGGTCTGCCTCGCAGAGGTCCCAGGTTCGATTCCCGGGCCGGGAGAAATATTTGTATGGCCTACATTTATTTCTCTCGTGACTTTGGATATAATTTGTGGGTGTCTATGTGTGTGTCCATGGCACTCGCGACACGGACTTTCCCTAATGCGGGGCTATGTTGAGTGTGTGCGTTATTATCATAGATTTAGTGTATAGGTACCCATAGATTGGCAATGCAAGTGAAAGAGCGTTAGTATACACGTATGTTAGAGCGAGATGGATAGACCACTTCATTATACGCTATGAGCCTGTATGAACCTAGCGTCAGCTGACAACGAAACAAATTTCGTTTATTTTTGAAAAATATTTGTTTTTAAAATGTGAAATAGTGTTAAACGGACGTTTATTAGTCATGGTACCGTGTTCAGTGCTCGGATGTAACTCATGTAAAAAGGAAAACTCGCAGAATTGTACATTTCACATGTAAGTAGGTACTATTTAAATTTTTAGCTGTCTAAAAGCACTACCACAAAAGATTTTTACATAAATACATATATCCGTGAAATTATACAGATGTATTTTTGTTTTGGTCTCGTCTCCAATACTTCAGGGCCAATCTATGGATATACTAAATCTATGGTTATTATATATTAATTGCACTCAGAGCTTTAAATCGCAAAAATCTCACTGCGCCCATCACCCTGAGACATAAGTTGACAAGTCCCATGTGCCTGTAATTTCACCAGCACCCTTACCCTTCAAAATCGGACACACAGTAATGCTGACGTTACTGCTTGGCGGCAGAAATAGGTAAGGTGGCAGTTCTACTCTAGACTCTCACAAGGAGCTATACAACTTTTTTTTTTCATTTAATTAGTGTGTATATAATTTTGTAGTTCTTAGGTTTTCGGCATCAGTGGCCCAACAGTTTAGGTACACTATGGGCACTGGATGGTCCCGAATTCGATTCCCGGTAGGACCAATTTGAAAAATGAACTTTTATAAATTGGTTCTAGCCTGGAAAGTCCAAGTAGTGCCCCGATGTGATTCCAAATATGGTTGTTTGACACATTTAGAAAAAGAAAAACATCGAATTGAGCTGTATTGCCCTAATATCATTTTTTATGATAAAATAAGTGCCCATTTGACCTCCCATTGTTCTCATTTTCCATCTTACCTGATGGAAAGTGACATTGAGATAATCCTGTTCACTTTTTTTTCATTCACACAAAAATGCCTATTCACTCTCTTCTTGAGCAGGCGCAAGTTATAGTGTTCAGGAAATAAGTCTGCAGGTAGGGAATTTCACTCCATAGTCGTTCGCCATATAAATGTGGAAGCGTAACGCTTCGTGCCCTCAATATACTAATACTAAAAATTATATTTACACACGCACAATAATCATTTCATAATTTGTACCCTCTTGGTTTCCAGGCGTCACAATGCGCGGCCCATCTGACGAAACTCGCGGAGCTGGAGAGCGAGAGAATGACGTTGCTTCACAAAACCAGCACGCTACAGGCAGCTGCCGCAGACACCAGAGCTAAACACCAGGCTCTGATGGTAAAGCTAGAGGTACGACTCCCACTGATAACCTAGTTTTTTTATTTATAAGTTCTACCCACGGAAGAGTGCGGAGAAAGTGCCTTAACTCACACGTTTATAATTTTAAATACTGTGAAATCTTAATAATGATTGGTCGTAGTTTCAAATTTAAAAAGATGTAACAAATTCTGGTCTGTTAATACAATTTAAACTTTACCGTGTAAAATAATGGCATATCGTTGAAAATTATACCTGTGGTCACAAGTTACGACGTTTTGATTTCATATTGAAATTTCAATCAGTGTGCTGCCATCTAGGAGTCAATAACAGAACAACAACGAATTCGAGATGTTTACTTGACCATATTACTTTAACAAAAGTATTACGATAAACGGAAATATGAAACTTTTATTACAAGTGCGACTGTCAGTTTTACACTCCAAAGTATCAAAATGAGGCATTTTCAAGAGGCGGTACGTCAAACTGTGGTAATCGCGCTTATTGGCTGGCTTACACGTATTAAGTGAGTAATTAAATAAGTTTTAACTCAATTTTAAGTCCGTTTACACCTCTTTTAGATAATCGTGTTAATGGGCGTATCGGTGACTCGGATTTACTAGAGGCGAAACTGCAAAACCTTGAATACCGTCTCGTGAAGTTACCTGCTTAGCAGTACTCCACAATCATTTCGCCATCGCTTTACGCTTCCATTCGGAATTTCTTACCTGCAGACTTAGTCTTTGTACGATATAACTTGGCAGTGGCGGATTTGCCCTAAGCCCCAGTAGGCCCGGACCTAGGGCGGCCAGATTTCAGGCGCGGCCAATCGTGACAAAAAATGTACTGTTGATAACAAGAAATAACTCAAAGTACCTAAATATTCTAAAGGCTCACGCACGTAATGGCGGCCCGCACTCCACCTAAATCACTTTCGAATATGTTATGTATAAAATATAGATATGTTAGAATAGAATAGAATAGAATATCATTTATTTCTTGTAAATATGGTAAGTACAATATAAATTAGATGTTACAAATTAAAATAGAGTTCAGCATATTTTGCCAACAAGCGGCATAGAAATATTCCAATAGTCATAATAATTTGTGATGAAACATGTCAAATATAAAACTTATCAAAAATACAATTAAATGGCAGAAATTAATAAAAAAAGATAATTGTAATATGATTAAAATTAAGTTGTCACAAGTTATCATGCAGGAAATCACTGACATTGTAATAACATTTTTCAATCAATAGTGATGTCAATTTCTTTTTAAATAATGATAATGGTAGTGATTTTATGTCTTCCGGTAGTTTGTTATAGATTTTAGGTTCCATGGCAACTACACTCTTTCTCAACAATGCTGTTTTGTAACTACCTGTTAACAATAAGTTACTGTATTGTGATCGCATAGGCCTTTATCTGACATCCGATAACTTTATAATTTTTTTTATATTCATTTTTACAAAGATGCATATTTCCAGGATATATAAAGAGGGTAGAGTTAATATGCGATTTGAGATGAACTTTGGTCTGCAACTTTCTGTTGGTTTTAGTCCACACATGGCTCTTGTTACATATCTATAATGTAATGAATGTGTAATTACTACATATTATCACTACCGCGTCTGCCTGTCTGATCGCGATAAACTCAAAAAGTACTGAACCGATTTTCATGCGGTTTCCACCAGTAGATAGAGTGATTCATTGGGAAGGTTTAGATGTATAATTTATTTAGGTTTTGTGTAAGTTGGCTGAAATATGACGATAAATGTTGGAAGATGTCGGAAAAAATCTTGTCGGCAGGGCGCTTCACTGGCGTGCGCCCGGTAATCTAACAGAGATACCAATATCAAATCAATGTCCTAGAAAAAAATTAAAATTATTAAATAGTACATTTCTGAATACATTTCGATAAAAGTTGGCAATAAAATAAATTCATTGTGTACCAGTATATGACGAGTGCTGGGAAAGGGGCGGCTGGTGCTCACTACATGGCCTGGGGCCTCGGTAAAAGTCTGCAAATCCGCCACTGTGACTTGGGCCTTTTCAAAGCGAGAGTCAATAGATATTGCACAGGTGTGCATGCTCCACTTATCGTTACTTTCCATCAGAACCCCGATTCCGAACTCTTCGATATTATAACCGAATCGTTCTATTGGATATCGTTCTCGAAACGAAAGGCGCTTTCGGAGCTATTCAGAACATTCGAGTTAAACGATCAATTCGGATTCGGATACGATATCGTTAACCAACAGCGTTTACGGAGTTAGTCGGTGAAATAGATTATAAGAAAAATCGTATTATATACATTTTTAAGACTTTAAAGGCCTAAAATATAGGAATGCATTAGTCTTACATTAAAATAAATTAGTAACATTGAACAAAATCCAGACTTTATTTCAAATAATAAGAGATTTCCATATTACATTATTGCTTTGTAAATAATTTTTCCGGTCCTTTGCCGGTCGAGAAGTTTGATGAAATTACAGGCACGTGGGACTTGTCGACTTATGTCCCAGGGTGACGGGCGCAGTGGCAGTGCCCCTTAGATCTGTGGACAGGCGTGTAACTTACCATCAGGCGCACGACTTGTTCTTCCCGACATTTGATATTATAAAATAAAATAAAAACTTCGAGTAATCGCACGGCTGTGACGTCGTTCCGGTTCGGTTTCGAATACGACAGTTTGACGTTCCATTCGAGTGTTGTGAATAAAAATGAAAAAAAATCCTACGATATCAAATCGAATCGGTCGACAACTGAGTTATCGTAAGGTCCTGAATCGACCCCCAGGTGAGATAGATGTCAAATGCGCTAAGTGACAAATATCCGTTTTAAATAGAAAAAAAAATAGAGCACAAAATTATCTTTTAAAAACAGTTAAAATTAGTTAACGTGTTTGACTTACCGGAACTTACCCTAAAGATGCGTAGCTAAAATATCATTACACAATTTCAATATTTTAAACCTGGGTTATGGTTTTCTATGATGTCTCAAAAAAATATTTTGCCATTTAGACTATTATGCTATTCCTACAATAAAAAAACCTCTAAGTACTTTGACATTTTGCGTACCAAGGCTTAAACCAATACGCGGGGTGCGGGACGATCGCCTACTTCATCAAAAAATAGGTTTGACTCTAATCGACTTACCTACTTAATCCACTTACTCGTCTACTTATCAGTCGATAATAACATTAATTACTTAACAGCTGTTAAGTGATTGTTTACACGCATAAATTAAGTTAAAACTTTGGTTAATTACTCTGTCACTTAATCGTGTTGACCAGTCGTAAGGCGAAGTTAACGGAAGTCGTTTACTTATTACTTATTACCAGTTTGACAGTGACAATTCATGACATTTCGAATTTCGAAATATTTATTTTCAGATAACAGGATCCATTGGTGTTAGTATAATAGAGAAAAAACTTACAAGCTATTGTTAGTAGGAATATTGTATAACATATTACTTAATTAATTAAAATGTCATGTACTTACGAGGTATCTCATGCCGAATCATTGTCCGTACGAGAGGCCTCAGTACAGGTGATCTGCAGTCCTCAGCCACAACCTTCAGGATGCTGCGGTTACTCCGCCAGAGCCTTCTAACCAAACATACATTAATTGTAATAATAATAATAATAACGAACTGAAGTAGTATATAGTCTTAACCGACTCGCCTGTCCGTGGTAGATGCAGTGCCTCTTAGAGCTGTGAATCGCAAAGAATTGAGGTACACTGCCACTGCGCCTGTCACCCAGTGACATAAATTGACAAGTCCCATGTGTCTGTAATTTCACCAGCAACACAGTAATGTTCATATTACTGCTTGACGGTAAGGTGCATCGAGTATATAACCAAAAATAGAGACGAAATAAGGGCCATATATTTCTGGTAACTCATCAGTGATACGTCACTTATAAATATCAACTCTCGTTTGCACTGAAATATAGACAGCGCCAACAACTGACCTGTGTGTACGTCTCGCCGTAAGTTTGTTGTAATAAAGATAATATCTCTAACAACGACGTGCTGTTTCATTCGGTGGTGTGAGAAAAACAGCAAAACGTCTAATTACAAAGCAAACGGAATCAAATTTCATCGGTAATGATATATTAAATATGTAATTTTGCAATTTGCCTCCATTATAGCAAAGATCAAGTTAACTGGTCGATTTGAAGTGAAACAATTGACGACACCCGTCAATTGTTTCGAATTCGGGCTGGCCAATCGGAGCGCAGTTGTCACAGTAATGATATGGCAGAATAGTTTTCAAACAAATTAAATGACATTTCGTCTCTATTTCTGGTTATATACCGGATGCTAAGGTGGCAATACTTCCCTGGACGAACTTTTTCACAAGGAGCTCTACTGCTACTAGTTGCTAGGTTTTTCTTGTTTGAATTCAAGCAATTGGTGTGATCGTCAGTCGCATAAATTTGACATATTTTTAAAATTAAAAAGAAATATTGTATAATAATAGGGGTTAAAGTATGAAATTGCCGATTTGTACTGAAAATCTAAATTGTTTATTTTTTAAATTTTTAACAAATTTATTTAATCAAAATAGTTGCCATTATTATCTATACATTGCTGCCATCTAATGGGAAGGTTATTAATGCCTTTGCGATAGAACTCCGACGATCTAGACTGCACAAACTGTGTGAAAGCATTTTGTACTGCCTCCTGGGAAGAAAACTTCTTGTCACGTAGATAATTGTCCAAATCACGAAAAAAATGGTAGTCCGTTGGAGCAAGGTCTGGTGAATACGGAGGATGACGAATGGTTTCTAACTGCAGTTCCTGAAGGGTCAAAATGGTTTCTCGTGCTGTGTGAGGTCTCGCGTTGTCGTGGAGCAATAATGGTGAAGATCGATTCATGAGTCGGGGCTGTTTTACTGCTAGTTTTGTCAACATGGTTCGGAGTTCGGCACAATAGACATCTGCCGTTATTGCTTGACCAGATCGGAGAAAACTATAGTGAATAACACCATGCTGAGACCACCAAACAGTTACCATTACCTTTTTATTGGTAAGTTTTGCTTTAGGACACTGTTGTGGCATTTGACCTGGGGTCAGCCATTGCATTTTTCTTTTCCGGTTATCATAAAGAATCCACTTTTCATCACATGTTACAATTCGATCCAATATTCCATCATGTCTGTACCGGTTCAACAAGGCAACACAAGTTTCAACACGCGTTTCTTTCTGCAGATCAGTCAAATCATGAGGCACCCATTTTTCGTATTTTTTTATTTTATTGATTTGACGCAAGTGAGTCAATATTGTGGGTAAGGTAACGTTAAACCATGCCGCTAATTCCTGGGTAGTTTGACTAGGATCGGCTTCCACTATCTCTCTTAATTCATCGTTATTCACCTGTGTGGGCGGTCTTCCTCGTGGCTCGTTCTTTAAGTCGAAATTTCCATCACGAAAGCGTTTAAACCAAAATCGCACGGTGCGTTCATTAGTAGACCCCTCTCCAAACGCAGCATTGATATTGCGGGCTGTTTCTGCCGCGTTAGTTCCGCGTCGGAACTCGTATTCAAAAATCACTCGAATTTTCGCAGTATCCATCTTTCTTGTCTAAATTGAATAACAAAAACAATTGAAAGTCGATATTCAAATGTTTCAAATTAAAAAAAAAAAAATCACAGAAACCATTTGAAAAAAGTTTCATTCGAAAACCTCAAACCATGAAGATTCTATGAAAATTCAAAGAACCTATTGCAATAAAATGGCAATTTCATACTTTAACCCCTAATATTTTTATTTGTGTTTTCAACGCCTGATGGCGGCGAGAGAATAGTAAAGTATGGTGACACCACCACAATATTCTTCTACTCCCCGCAAGGGGGCGCAGCGTGTAACGCCGGCTATGACGTGACGTGGTCTGTGGCTTCAAACGTTCCAGAAGCTCTCTCTCATCCATCATCGACGACACCACATCGATCGTTCATTTTCAACATACAATTGTCTTTCGGTCGTCATATTGTATTTAAATTATGTAAAGGATCGCATTAAATATTCTAAATGCAAATGAAATAAATCACTCCATTGAAGACTCTTACTTGTCCGGAAGCTTGTATCAAGCACACGCAACCCAAAATCATTTTTTTTTTAATTTACTAGATTTTTTTATTTAGGAAAAAGACCGCCTCTACAAAGAGCAACGAAGCGAAACAGACAAGTTGGCTTCGGAAGCGAAGCGGCTCCGGTCGAAGAACGCGTCTATCGAAGCAAAGTGCGCCACGCAGGAAGAACTCATAGTATCTCTAAAACATCAGATTGATACTGCCAAAATAAGCGAAAAGGTACATGAATACGTCCCATTGCTTAGCTTCTTCTCCATATTTCACTCGAGGCACTCAAAAGCACTCCCACGTAGACGCTCGCACGCACTCGCGCACACTCGCAGGCACTACAGGTACTCGCACGCAATCACAGGCACTCGTAAGCACTCACAGGTACTCACAGGCGCTCGCACGCACTTGCAGGCACTCACAGGCACTCGCAGGCACTGAAAGGCACCCGCCCGCTCACGCAGACGCTCGCACGCAATTTCACACACTCGCAGGCACTACAGGTACCCGCACGCACTCACAGGCACTCGTAAACACTCACAGGTACTCACAGGCGCTCGCACGCACACACAGGCACTCGCAGGCACCTAACCTAAGTAAAGACTTGAAAACATTTCCTTGACATGAAACATGACTTGAAGTCCGCGATTGTGGTAGAGTATGCGTGTACGCGATTGTGGTTGCGTTAGCTTGCTAGCGACACCTTGCCTCCACGCGACTTTGAGTTGTGTCCAAGTCTTTAGTTTAACTGCACGCAGAGGTCCCGGGTTTGATTCCCGGGCCGGGAGAAATATTTGTATGGCCAACATTTATTTCTCTCATAAGTTCGGGTATAATTTGTGGTTGTCTATGTGTGTGTGTCCATGCTACCTGCGATACAGGGTTTCCCTAGTGCGGGATTATAAGTGTGTGCGTTATTATTATTAATCGTTAACATCATAAACACACACTCTATCGATTTGTCGTTTCGATCAGTCTGAAATGACGGATCTTGAAGAAAAATCGTATATGGGGAGGTCTTAATATAAATTCACAAAGTCCATTACTTACATCTTACATTTTTTTACTTACATTATTATACTCCTTTCTTTATAACATGCTCACTGTACTTTTGTTTGACAGGAATTTCGGGATTCCACACGGTCCCTCTCAGCAAATCATCAAAACGCCATCTCTCGGCTGGAATCACGAGTTAAAACGCTAACTACCCGCAACACACGCCAGGAGGCGCTAATACTGAACTTACGGAAGCAGATCGCCTTATTGGCGGCCACTAAAGCTATAAATGCCATCGAGAGCGATTATAACACCTTCTTGGAGGCTTTTTGATTAATAAACCATCTCGTAACGTAATAATTTTTTTTTTTTTTTACTTACGGAGATTTCATTACACGGCCGCCATTTTGAATGCTTTCGCCATCTTGTTTAGAAACTGCTGGTGATCGCAAATAAATGCTTAGTGAAAGCTGATAAGCAACGCGTCAACAAAAATAATCATAGTTTTGCTAAAATGGCACCTCACGATCACACTTCCTCCAGAGTGAAATTGATCACGTCGGGGTCACCAAATGATTGCGCCGGTCCTTTGTGGGTTACACTGAAGGGACTTTGTAAGTAAAACCTCCTTGAGACTGCTGACTTGACTTTATTTTACTAATTTTTGAAAATACAAAATAATTGATGTGCACAGTCCGGAGATTAGCTACGCAATGAGGACGCCGCCCGGTAGCTGCTGCCTGTTGACATCTGTAGGATCCGTTGCTAATGCATATTCGTCAGGCGTCACGAATGGCCTGAACAGGAATAATGAATTGTTGCGATTTATTACTGTAATTTCTCCAACAACTAGAAGCACAGCAGCAAACATTTTCCTTTTATAAGTAAATAAAAAAACAACAATCTATCAAAAATAACGAAAAAACCTATGCCATTTTCGCAAAACTGCTAGGAAGCTAGGTACTGATTGGCAAGCTGTAATTGTAATCAAAGTCGAAGACTCATTTATTCCATAGATAAAATAAATTTACACTTGAAAACGTCACTTTTACTGGTCGATCACTATTTACCCTATCTACCAGTATACTCTACTGCTACTATTTAGTAGCCTTAGTTAACCTTACCTATTTCTGCCGCCAAGCAGTAATGTCAGCATTACTGTGTTCCGGTTTTCAAGGGTAAGTGTGCTGGTGAAATTACAGGCACATGGGACTTGTCAACTTATGTCTCAGGGTGACGGGCGCAGTGACAGAGCCCCTCAGATCTTTGCGATTTAAAGCTCTGAATGGCACTGCAACTGTTATGAACAGGCGTGTAACTTACCATCAGGTGCACGACTTGTTCTTCCCGTCACTTGATATTATAAAAAAAGCGCCGAGAAATAGGGTTTTCCGGGGAGTGATACGACTTCGCGGGCATCTCTGGTGAACCCGGACTTGGGTATGGACTCGCTGGGGTTGTGTGGTTAGCTGCAGAGATGTTTGTCTGCCCCGGTGATGTGTGGACGGTGCATCTGTCTGGTGCGCATCTGAAGCGAGGAGACGCGCGGGACACGTGAATTGCCGTTCAAGTTGGAAGCTATGTCCGGATAATGTCGCAGGACACTGCGACTGTAGTAGAGGATAAACTAGATATCCTCTGGTCCCTCCAGTCGTTTAGGTTATTGGGAACTGGAAAGATGTCGTTTTTCGACGGCGGGAAGTGAGCGTGCCTACAGCTCCGGTACCTATCCCCGGGGCCATTCCCTACCAGGGGCGGCTCACCTAAGGCAATATAAACAAAATTCATGTAGAAAGATATAGGACTGTTCGATCACTATACTGACTTCCCTGAGAAGAACGAGCAAGAAACTCTAGGGATTGCTCTTTTCAAATAAACTTTGAATCATATTGGTGTGAAATCTAGAATCACGTTGTCTTTCCATACATCTGTATCTAACACGTAGTTTACAATTTTGTAATATGACTTTTCAATTAAAATACTTTTAATGTAAGTTTTAAACTTAGAAAATGGTAATCTTAATATATATTCGGAAATCTTATTGTCAAAACGTATACAGTTTCCCATAAAGGAATCGTCTACTTAGTTAAACGAAATAGTGGTACCATGAGTTTTCTAAGGTTAATATTGTGGATATCTTTCTTAATGAAATTATGTAAGTATATTTTACAGGCATATAAAATATTTGAGTAAATGTACTGTGATGCCACCAGTCATGATACCAGATTCCTTAAACTTTACTCTGAGAGAAACCCGAGAACCGAAACGGTACACAGAACGAATCGCTCGTTTTTGCAACACAAATATGGTTTGTATACATATAAAGTGACAGAGAAAGTAACAAGGTTCTAGTGTGTACGCGTTTTTGTTCTCTTTTTATACCTGGTTATCGTTGGCTCACTGTGAACCACTCCAGGGAAACACGCGAACCACGTGCACCCTATGGTTTTTGGTAACATAACATTCACAGGTTACGGGTGCAGCTGTCTAGCGAGTACCCGGCTTTATTGCTTATCAGTATCCGGACTTCGGCGTTCTTAACCTTTTACTCTTCTTTATCTTCGATGTTGGTACAAAGTAGTCTAGTGCCAGTAAAACAAAAATTCGGAAAAATTATAACTTTGACGAAATACTTTCATAGATTTCTCATAGATGGCGCTACGGATAAGAAGTCGCTGCAAACCAAATATAAAGATCCGACAACAAGCACATAAGCCCGCTGGTTCATTCCGTGACTTAGTTGGCATAGCCACGGCCTGATAGAAAATAATTTCTAAGTATTCGATCTTTTTATTCATAATTATAACAAACTTGTGGAGTAATAAAAATAAAATTTAAATTGTAACTTTTTTATTAAAAAAAACTGACCTCAGAAGTTCTTGGAATAGGTTACCGGAAATAGCGCGAAACCCGATTCATCCCCTAGTTTGCCACCCTTGGAGATAAAATATTTTCTTCAAATTTAAATGGCACCTATACTGAGCTACCGTCTTTCCAACAAAAAAGAATCAAAACCAAAAAGTGACGTTTTTATTTTTATTCATTTCCAGCTTTAGAAACTTATTTCTCCGTTGCAAAGTACGAACAAACCGACGATAGAAATTTTATATACATTATCTTTTTACATCTGTACTGTTATCGAAAATAAATGACACGTTGTTTTATAACAAAATTTTTATCTCATACTTTTATAAATAGCTTTTTATCAATGGCACATTTAAACTAACGTAGTAACAAGATAACACAGACGTAACAAGTACATTCGTAAATGAAAAGAATGCTTACAATAGTTTAGGTCGGACAGCATCATGACTTAAATAATTAAAAGCACGAGAAATATCTACGCCTTATTTAACAGTCGCCTTGCAAGTTACCTATGAGCATAAATAACCAGGCTCTCTATCTATGCCTATGAGGCTCACTGTTTAATTGCTATTAATTCAATCTAACGTGGACCTTTGAAGAATATAAATAAAGATTATTATTACATTATATTTAAGGACGGTCAGTAAGAAATTACTAAGGGCTTTAATAACACGAGTTTAGTATTTTTTTACCGTCTATAATACATAAATACATAATGTTTTTCATCACGTTTCCATAAATACAATGTTTATTTCTTGTATGAATAAAATCACTCTAGTACAGGTCACAGACCATAGTGCAGATTTCTGTTGTTTTTTTTATCAACAGATGGCCAGCTAGCTTTTCAGGCCTGTCGGTAGTTCCACGGGAGATTATTATTACCCGTGGCACTACTAGTAGTCCTGCTGGTAATTCCACGGGCAACAAAGGATTCTTCCATAGACTATACAACTCGAACTAAGGTGTTGTAAAAAGACACATACAACCATGAATGGCCATGATGGATTGTAAACAAAAAATTGTTAAATTTTTATACAGAAAACAATTAAAAACAAATTATAAGAAATACGTTGTGCTACAAATTAAAAAAAAATCTCCACAACGAGCATGGCTGTAATGGGAAGAAAAAAGGCCAGGGGGTTTTAGGGCATTCTAGTCAAGTTACAATTATACTATTTACGAGCCAGTGTGATGAAAATTACAACTTCGCACCCTCGTTGTTATTAACAACGAGTGTCGATAATATTTTATTGTCGATTCGGTATCCCATTAAGTTTATGTAATAAGAGCAAAACTCTGGTCGCTTCCGTACGCAGTCGACAACGGCCGATCAGCTACGCCGACACCCGAACCGCCTACGTACGGCATGACTGAAGCGCAAGCCACACCGCGATAAGTTAGCTCATGTAGCTGCATGTAAAGTAAGCTAAGAAAATACGGGACCGTAGTGACGTGCTGCCACTTAGCACTTGATGCTAGTTTTTCGTTCAAAGCAGTAGCTAATACATTACGTAATCATCTGTAATGACAACTTTATTTACTTTACGTCAACAGAGTTTACTTAGATAGCGGGATTGTTGTTTTAGTTAGTTCAGTCAGCTCGGTTAGCTTAGTTCGCGGTGTGAAGATATATAAAAAAACATGCCGCAGCTGCGTGAGCTAAACTAGTGGCTTCGCTCGCGGTGTGGCCTGCGCTTAAAACGTAATCGAAGTCTCCTAAAGGCTAGTTTCACATCCATTTTTTAAATTTTGATTTGATACACAAACGGAATGCAATTATCACTTGGTAACAGGTACAGTTAGATACATTAATAGACTAGACCACATGCCAAAAACAATGTAGACAGCATGATAAAAAATTTGTCTTAGTACTAAGTTAAACTCATACTCCATTCTACATACAATAAAATCCAAAGGACGAGTAAACAAAAGTGTAAAAAAGTACACTCCATGAAGACCTAGGAAAATAGAATGGAAAAGCGTTAAATGCCCAATGTATATATTAAAATGCACCAAATGTAATTAAATACTTTAATTAAACTATTTTTCTAGATACACTATGATCGTATATAAAACATACAGTACGTTAATAACGCTACAATTAAATGCGATATTTTCATTAAAATGTACACTGGCATTTATTTGATCATAGGAATATTATTGTATGCGTTACGGTTATGGCCACAGAACAATAAATACAGTAGAAGTGCTTAGTTTACGTGGCATGTGTGCCAACAGTTCACGGAGTGCCGCAAACTTGAGCTTACTAGCAGAAAAATGTCTTATTTCGCTACTTTCGAGTGCAAATATGATAAACGCACTTGTAATATTAACTATGGTGGTATTTCGTATCATCGTTAAGCTTATTTTATTCAATTTTAATACATTTTCAGTTTTCTGATTATCGTAATCATTTTTTTTTGACATAACAAACGAAAATAAACCTCATACCACTGTAATATGATCGCTTCTTTTTTGGAGAACTAAGTAAACATCTCGAATTTGTCGTCGTTCAGGCATTGACCGCTAAATGGCAGCACATTGATTGTAAATTTCAATATAAAATCAAAACGTCGTAACTTGCAATAATGGGTATTGACTGTGTTGAACTTTCAACGATGTGCCAACAGGGTAAAGTTTTAATTATACTAACAATCTTGAATTAGTTATTTCTTTTTAAATTTGAAACAACGATCAATCATCAACAAGATTTCATAGTATTTCAAATTATGAATGTATGAATTTTGGCGACAGCGGTTCTGATTAGTAATTGAGTGATTGAGGTACTTCCATTGTTTTTCTTCTTCCGCGGCTATGGCGCGAATTATTTGTTGAGTCACCGCCGCGGAAGCAGATGCTTAAGGACCACGAACATCGAGTATATAACCAGAAATAGAAACGAAATAAGGACCACACATTCCTGGTAACTCATCAGTGATACATCACTTATAAATATCAACTCTCGTTTGCACTGAAATTAGAAAACTGAAATAATACAGCGCCAACAACTGACCTGTGTGTTCGTCTCCGTATATTCCAAAAATATTCTGTATTTATTGTAATAAAGATAATATCTCTAACAAAGGCGTGCTGTTTCAATCGGTGGTGTGGGGAAAAACAACAAAACATCTAATTACAAAACAAACGGAATCAAATTTCATCGGTAATTAAATATTAAATATGTAATTTTGCAATTTTCCTCCATTATAGCAAAGCTCAAGTTAACTGATCGATTTGAAGTGAAACAGTTGACGACACCCGTCAATTGTTTCGAATTCGGGCTGGTCAATCGAAGCGCAGTTGTCATCGTAATGATATGGCAGAATAGTTTTGAAACAAATTAAATGACATTCGTCTCTATTTCTGGTTATATACTTGATGACCACGAACTAGTTCCAAACATGTCTCACAAAAACAAAAAGTCGACTCAAATAGGTACGTGAGTTATCTGGTAGTTAAATTAATAAAATTGATTTAATTATTTCGTAAAATAATAGGTGTAAACTAGCCATCAGTGCTATCTTTTCCATTATCCGTTGGAGTTATGTCTTTATTTATTGAAAATCAGGATTGACGTAAATGCCAATATCATATGCGAGGCTGCGCCCTCTCTCACTCTTCATTCGGAGGTTCACAAAGGAGTGTCCGATCCCCCCGGCTGTTATGTTCATCGAGGCCCTCGAGTGTAAAGTGTCTATTGCTTGGATACCCTGAAATAAGAAGAAATTTATTATTTTTAATGTGTGTATTTTCTCAAAAATTCTTTGGTATATCTACTTTAACCACGTGCTGCACTTTAAGTTCATTGACTTACAATTATATGGACATCGGGTCCGCGCTAAAAAGTGTCCGAACTTATAGGGCGTTAAAATCGTAATACAGAGCGTCATTCACGCTTTAGTCTTCCGTTTGTTCGACTGACAGCGAAGCAAGCAAAATTAGACAGTACTGCGATGACATTACAAGTTAAATTCAACGTTTTAGCGTTTTCATATTTCTTTACATGTCACTACGTTTAAATAGGTTGACTTGGGACATTTTTTTCGTGGTTTTTGTATTAGACCCGTCGTCCATTTATTTGTAAGTCAATGTTTAAGTTAAATACGTAATTCACATTTTATTTTACGTAGTACATTACCGACTGTCCACTGATACACTACAATACCTACAGTGTACTATCTACCTGTATTTTGTACCAATATACTTTTGTCATTTTCTTTGGAAGTCTTTCTATGCGTACTACCACTACAATACATGTATGGGGTAAGGTGGCCCATACAATGTGAATAAATACAGTTATAAATTCCAGACCAAATTTAATGCATTAACATGAAATCATTCAACCTATAAACGAATAACGTGTCGCTTCCAGCACAAGTGCAAAAAGCGACCCTGCGCGATACGGCACGTATTGTTTGCCGGTTCTTGAACTTGAGTCCCTGACCCCGGTTGACTGTGTCGTTGCCGGGAAATACCGCCTCTCCCGTTTAAAAATTTTAACTTAATTTTTCGAGCGATAGGATGGGCGAGAGTCTACAGTACCGACACGCTATGATGGCCGTTTTGACAGATTACAATAGTGAGGTCAAATCTCAATTTATTATCGAAAAAAATATAATCAAATGAGAGTCGCACCTATAAGATTTTAGATTAATAACCGGTATTGCAAGGGGTAGTTGATTAAAAAGTTTTAATAAAACAAACATATACACGTTCACTTAGTATATCGCCAATTCAAAACTGCTTTGTTTAGCATTGAGCTTTGACGGGAGTTTGCCGGAGGCAGAAGTTGTGTGACGAACGTACTAGATTTAGTTTTTAAAAATTTCGAACAACAAATGCCGAGTTGTGTCGTAAAATTAAACATTCCATAAATTTTACTGCACGTCACTATTCACAACAATGTATAGCAATTAGCTCCTTAAACGTAATTATGAATTAATACGAAACTTAATAAGTGGACAAATGTCAAAACGGCCATCATAGCGTGCCGGTACTATAAAACAGATATCCAACCTAACAATGTGCCAGCCAAACAACCACACCTCATAAATTACACCCAAACTCATGAGATAAATAAATGTAGGCCCTACAATGATATCTATGTAGCGTACTAGATGCGGCGTTCCTTACACATGCTGTGAGTCACTGACGTGCAGTGACAACAAAACACTTCAATATCACAGATTAACACGTTCCCTGTGTAACTGGAAATGGAAATTGTTAGAATTGCAAATATGTCAGAATTAGTTTATAATATATTAAATACATTTATGGATAGAAAAACCGTTTCCATGAACCCCCTTCCCATTTTTTCGTTTTTCCCAAATGCCCCACATTTATAGGTTTTTTGCTTGGTGCCACATATATAATTATATTGGTTTTTTGACATTGGTGGATTGTCATTTTGTTTTTATTATCATGTGCGATATGTGCAAGTCCATAATAGACTTTTCTAACTTCTAGTAAAAAAAAAATTTTTTTGTGTTTTATTTGACAGTGATAATCTGGCAACAATGGTTGAAAAGTCATCCGGTACCACTTGCTAATTGCCACAATTTTTGTGGCCCATACGTGCAAGTAAATAAAGATGATCTAGCTTACACGTGCAAATTTTGTTTAACGCTTAAAGGGCCATATCTCATATGTGATGCACTCACGTATCGTTTGGACCTCGAAATGCACCACATGTAATGTACGCACAGGGAACGTGTTAAAAAGCAACAGAGTTCTGGTTCAGACTACGCAATAACAGAGTAGAGGTAATATGAATAACATAGTTACTATGGCTACCATAATAAATTTAAAAAATATAAAAATAGGCCAGACTACATGGTCTAAAGATCTTTGCCTTTCCACAAGGAAAAATACATAACATCAATAATTTCAACAACTCGGCTGTATTTCTTTTTTGTTTTACTTAGTTTGTTTTTCTTTTTGTAGTAATATAAAAATCATAAATACTAAGCGGAATGCCCCTGGGTCTAATAGCGATTTTGCCAGGGGCTTTACGTTAATTCCCCAAATATGGATTAATATCATTGGTAAACACTCAATATTATCTGCCTGTAAAGACTGTCACGTCTGTCCACGGTACTACGATACTGACACTCCTTGATAAAATTCAACATTAAAACATAACACTATCACAATTGATAGTATTTTGTTTGGAACAAGTAGTTGCTGATTCTTGTCTAAAGATCGTCGAGTATATAACCAGAAATAGAGACGAAATGCCATTGACTTACAATTATATGGACGTCGGGTCCGCGCTAAAAAGTGTCCGAACTTATAGGGCGTTAAAATCGTATACAGAGCGTCATTCACGCTTTAGTCTTCGTTTGTTCGACTGACAGCAAAGCAAGCAAAGTTAGACAGTACTGCGATGACATTACAATTTAAATCCAGCGTTTTAGCTTTTTCATATTCCTTTACATGTCACTACGTTTAAATAGGTTGACTTGGGACATTATTTTCGTGGTTTTTGTATTAGACCCGTCGTCCGTTTATTTGTAAGTCAATGCGAAATGCCATTTAATTGTTACAAAACTATTCTGCCATATCATTACTGTGACAACTGCGCTCCGATTGGCCAGCCCGAATTCTAAACAATTGACGGGTGTCGTCAATTATTTGACTTCAAATCGACTGGTGTAACTTGAGCTTCGCTATAACGGACAAAAAATTGAAAAATTACAGAATTTAATATTTAATCACCGATGAAATGTGATTCCGTTTGTTTTGTAATTAGATGTTTTGCTGTTTTTCCCACACCACCGAATGGAACAACCCCCCATCCTCAGAGATATTATCTTTATTACAATAAATACAGAATATTTTTGGAATATACGGAGACGTACACACAAGTCAGTTGTTGGTGCTGTACTTTTTCTGCTTTCTAATTTGTGATTTCAGCGCAAACGAGAGTTGATATTTAAAAGAGATATCAGTACCATTTGCCTGATGAGTGGCCAGGGATGGATGGCCCTTATTTTGTCTCTATTTCTAGTTATATACTCGATGCTATATATTGAAGTCGTTGGGGCAAATATTTCTCCCGGCCTGGAATTCGAAAAATCAGCCCACTGCTAAGCAAGGGTCCTCCTCTCAGGCGAGGACTTAGGCCTTATTCCGCCATGCTGGCCCAATGAGGAGTGGTGGCTTCACACGTTTTCCCAGGGCTGTGAACCTTCTTCGACGTGCAGTTTTCATCACAATGTTTTTGTAGACCTTATGCCACCGAGGTGATTCCACTAATTAAGAAAAGAACTCTAGAAAAATGGGAATATCATTTCGGAGAACAGTCGGTGAATAAAGGCCTTGGAATATGGTACAGAACCATCCAGAGCAGTCCACAGTGGGTACCCTGGTTTGATTCTGTCAATTTAGCAAGGAAATTTCTTATATCGGCTTTTAGACTGCGTTCTGGTCACATTCCAACTAATAAATTGTTTCATATGATGGGTTTTAAACCATCCCCTTTGTGCAGTACTTGCAATAAAATAGAGGATCTGTATCATGTACCTATTGGTGGAATGTAACCGTAACGTAACCCTGAAGGGTACAATGTTTGTGAATGTAAGTTTATGCAATGAACAAATTAATTGTTGGCTCAGACAGCCTATATGTATTGGAGCTCTAAACATGTACAAGTTTTTGAACATGTCCCTTGAGTAGGAAACCCAATATTCCTCCCATAAAGCTGACATAGTCACTCAAGGTGGCTAAAGCCTCAATAAAAAATAGAAAAATAGAACTGTCTCTGTGGCCGAATGGTTACCATGCCGGACTGCCACGCAGAGGTCCCAGGTGCGATTCCCGGGCCTGGAGAAATATTTGGATGGCTTACATTTATTTCGTAATTTGTAATTCTCCGACGATAAGTTGACAAGTCCCATGTGCCTGTAATTTGACTTGCACTGTTAACCGAAACATAGTAATGCTGGACATTATTGCTTGGCGGCAGAAATAGATAAGGTGGCAGGACTTCCCTGAATAGATCAGAATATAATGGAATAGAATAGAATACGTTTATTTGCATTGCAGGATACAGTAATTACATAGGTCTTAAGTATTAATGTAAGTAATGTAAGTCTTTAGTAAATATTAATGGGATTTAATTTTTAGTCTCTATAGTTTCTAATGAATGTAACGAAGTTCTAAGTTTTCTTGTATAACTATACAAGCAATCTGTCAAAAGCCATTTTGTCAATTATAATTTGAAAGTATGTCCTTGTAACAATTTAATTTCGTTTGGTAATTTATTGTAAATAAATACACGTTGAAGGAGTTATTCTTATAAATTACTTTATGGCAACGAGGTTGATATAAAAGATTCATAATTTTTGCTCTAGTTTGCCGTTGAATGACTTCACGTTCTGACCGAACTCTTTCGGAGCTCGACTGCTACTAAATAAACAGTAAAAAAAATGCTTACCTGTATTTTCTTATTATCCGGTGCGGCGTAGAAAAACTGCTTAACCCTCTTCATAAATGGTATCGCATTATATTCAACCAACTCGTGCTTAGCCAATTTTACTCTATTGGCCACATTTCCAATTACTAAATGTTCTCCTTTGGCCGCAAAAATGGCCGCCACAATTACGAAAGCCACGAACAGGAACTTCATTCTTATTAACCACTTTGCACCAAAAGAAAGATAATGATTTTTTAACACAAGTTTTTTTCAAACGTTTTACTGAAATCACCAATTACAATTACCATTTATTATTACCTTTTGGGAGAATGAATTTAGAAATATCTAGAACTTAATTGAATGACTTGATAGTAAACTGCGTCTGTCTAAAGCAAAGTTAAAAGCATAAATGGTGATAACTTTTGTGCCTCTGAGGTCACTAACTAAAGGCCAAGTAGAGTGACAAGGTTTTCCTTATTTATCCGTCCATAAGTAAGTTTGTGACTCATTATTCTTAGAAATGGTATTTATAGTAGGTAGTTATGTGTTAAACAATGATACATATAAATATATTTTTAACTAAATGGACTTGCTCATTTCTTAACCAATATCTAGCCCTGGAGCAAAGATCGGGGCTACGGTGGAACGAGCTAGCCCAGAAGATTGCCTATTCAGTCGCTTCTTAATGATACTCGAGTTGTACATGCTCGGATATACAGTCGCAGACAGGGAATATCATTTTATAAAAGATAACTGAAAGCGCCTTGTATGCATGAAGGGGATATCGACCAAGGATGATATCCCGCCGTACGTCTTGATGTCCGATGGTAAAAGGGGACGGGCGGAATGGGCTGATGGAGCGTATGGGCTCACCGAAGCATATTCTGTAGAATATAGATTTCTAGACTCATGGTTATTTACTAAATGTTATTTTGGGGTAATTCTACAGATCGGGATTTAGTATTTAAAGCACAAAAGAAATGTATAAGAGCTATATTTAGCATTTCTCGCATGGATTATATAATTAATAGAGTCCCAAAATCTATCCGTGAATTACATGTACATTTGTTTAAGAATAAATGTAAACAGTATTTAATTGATAAATGTTTTTATAATATAAATGATTATATGAATACGAGATGGATTTAGGGCCCAATTATAATTGTTTTTATATCTAGTAAGATTACATAAGATTACAGATTTATTTGACTAATTTATGTTATTATTGTCTTTCATTCATTTTTGACATGCACATATTTTAAATTATGTAAGTTTGACATTAACATGATTTTTCGCTTTATTTTTGACATTGTTAATTTTTAGTAATTTTTCTTATATTTTTTCTTTGCATGTTTACTAGTTTTTGACAGTTTTTAATTATAATATTTTGTACATTATGCGACCACCACTAATTATATTTGTATGTTTCGACGAAACTGATTGTAGTAGCACTGTTAATGTATTGAACTGATCTGATGAACTTATTGTACCTACTTCCACAAATAAATCGATCTTTTTCTTTATCTTCACTTGTTACTGGATTCTTACCACGCTATATCTTTTTGTTATATTCCTGATATTTCGAAACGATTTTTTATGATTCCAAGTGACTATCCATAACAGTTGGAGTGCCGGACATTTGAGGGACACTGTCGATGCGCCTGTCACTCTGAGCATAGGTTGACAAGTCCCATGTGCCTGTAATTTCACCAGCACCATTCGAAAGCGGAACATAATAATGCTGACATTACTGCTTGGCGTCAAAAATACGTAAGGTGACAGTGCTTCCCTGGACAAATTCTTTCACAAGGAGCTCTACTACGCTCGGTTACACGCTCCATGGGTGACCTGTGAAGGTTGACATCATAAAAAAAATAAACAAAGACACGCATGTTAGGCCAACAGATCACATTCTCACCACGGTTATAATACATATCATAAGATAGTGTAACTCTTCATAAACGTACTGCACAACTATTCTCTCTATTTCTCTTTATTAAAAAATAAGCGTACTTCCAATTCATCTCACGATGAAGCATGCACCCTTAAATAATGCCTATTCACCCTCACTTTGAAAAAGTCCGAATTATAGCGTTCAGAGATCAACTCTAGGCAGGGATTTCCACTCCATAGTCGTTCGCCATCTAGCGCACATATTCCACTAAATGGCTAGCCGCAGGCGTGTCTTATTTATTCAAATAAGTCATTATACTTTACCCATTGGCGCGGCCGCGACTCTGAAGTAGTTCGTGTTTAGTCGCTTAGTGGAAAATGGCATTAAATGTGTGCACTCGAGACAAAATAACATGACAATCCCGCATACACCGCACATACTTTCCTAAATTGATTGTTACCCTACTACACGCAGAATCTGTTGGTCAATTAAATTATTTTGAACTTAAGCGCTTTGATAAGTAAATAACTGCTTATATGTTATTTGTGAAACAAATAATCAACTTGTAATTCTCATCAATTCTCATTGATTCTGAGAATTGTACCAAAGGTCAATTATATCGTGTTATCTTACAACTCGATTGAAGCAATCATATTCTGTCATTGTCACCTCTTTCATGGCCTAAAATATATTTTTTACCGATTTCAATTCGTCTGTTTTTATTACTCCATGGCCTTTCGCACCTCGAATGAAAAAAGTATGGCATATATAAAAAACCGACCAGAAAAATTTACTTATATGCTTTCGCTGTGTTAAGACGGCTTCTATGGTCCGTGGAAAAACGGGCCTTGGGAAGCTGCCTTTACCGCGGTCTCTTCAATAATAACTGCAACGCATATCTTATGTTCTCAAACACGTATCTTATAAATGGTGTTTATTCAGAAAACGGCAAAACTTTCTGTTTATTTTAAATTTCTTATCAAGGGTGTTAATTTGAATGCATCACCTTAACAATAGGTAAAAGTCAGTGTGTGAATATGAAGGTAATAATAATAATAATAATAAATTTCTTTATTTCGGACTAAGTCCATAAGGGTTAGTAACAAAACACTTAAAAATAGGGTTAGTATTACAAATTGCTTATTTTACAATTTATTATTATAGGCCACAAAACCAATGTGCATCCTAGACCAGTGATCTAGGAAGCAACCCTGTACACGGTTTGCAATTATACTCAGGAGGCTGTTATCGCCGCCCCGAATCCTGCGCAACAAAGAAGCCGCCCTTTTCGCATGATAGCTGAAAAACCATCTAAGCGAGTCACGGCGAACATTCCCGATGCACTACAAAATCGAGGCAGCTTCAACAGCATCCTGAATAAATTATTGTACAACACACGGAGGGAGCTTAAAGCTTTTTGGGTATAATTGACCCATAAGCTACATGTATAAAATGACTGACAGTACGCCTTGAACAACATAAGTTTGACATCGTCAGTACACCTAGCAAACCTACGAGCCAACATGTTGCCCCTCACCGCTAGCGCCCTACGCTCCCTTTCTATATCTAAATCGTCCTTTAAAGTCTCAAAGACCCAGTAATGTAATGTAAAATCTGCCTGCAAAATTTTTTATATACAATGCATTTTTTACATTTCAGTTGCTTTGTGATTTAAGATACGAGTTTGAGAAAGTAACGCGACGATATGGAAGTCCTCGTCAAAACGAATCACATGAGCTCAAACACAATGTAGTTCCTCTCACCTGTCTGCCATTTCCATCATCAAATTTCGTCTGGATTTGAGGCAACCCATAACGGCATTTACTGTAAAATTAAATATCAGAATATGATAGATAGTACGGGGTACCCCATTTCGCTATATGAATCTCAAAAAAAACCAACTAAACTGCCTCTGTGGCCGAACGGTTACCATGCTGGACTAGTGGTGTTCATGTAAAAAAATATCGATATTTTGCGATAAATCGGTACAAAACATATTTTCGATATATCGTAAATAATTCTAAAATATAAAAGGAAGGAAATTTTACTAAGAGCAAATAAGTAAAACCACCAATTTTGATACAATAATCCAATGTATTTCTTATTTCTATATTCTCATTAGCTAGCCGCATATACATACAATATTATTGACAATATTATTATTGTGTGTGTGCGACCAGCCAATGAGTATATAACCACTAGTAGTGGTCCACTACATTACACTAACGGATGAACAGCGAATCAGCGTTCGAAGTGCGCTGCGTTTCTGCACAATTTTGAATTGTGTACTTTCAACTTTGTACGATTTTTCATGTATTCGATAAAATATATCGATAGTACTAATCGATACCGAATGATACGATAATATCGGATTGATTCTATATATCGAGGGCAAATATCGATATTTTTTTGAATATCGATATATATCGAGCACTGCTAGACTGCCACGCAGAGCTCCCGGGTACGACTCCCGGGCCGGGAGAAATATTTGTATGGCCTACATTTATTCCTCTAAGTTTGGCTGTAATTAGTGGTTGTCTATGTGTGTGTCCATATGGCACCTGCGATACAGGGTGTAAGGGGTGTAATGTTCTGTCGACCTTAATGTTAATTGTTTGTCTGTAGATAGGAAATGTTTTGTTGAGTGGAAATACGTGTGTTTCTGTCTTGAAGGTTTATTGCATACTAACTTATAGCTAACGCATGTCAAAATGTTATATAGGTAAAAATAGCTTAAAACGTACAAAAATATAGAGCATGCTCGTGCACCTTGGCCACTAGAGAAACATTAAAGAATATTACAGAAATTATTGTATACAACAAAAAAATAGGATAATTTAAACGGTTGTTATTTATAAATATACAACATTAAAGAGCAAGAGGGCTGGCTCCGCAGCTGAGCTGGCGGAAAGAATAAAAAGTAATAAGTACCAGGATCTCGGCTCCGACTACCTATTTACAGCCATTGGAGTCGAAACCCTTGGCCCGCGGGGTCCCAGTACCCTTCATCTGTACAAAATTTTATCCAAAAAATTAATAGACTGTCTGGGAAACCCTTGGGCCGGCAGCTACCTTGCCCAACGCATTAGCATAGCAATACAAAGGGGGAACGCTGCCAGCATCTTGGGCACCTTGCCGCGGGCTGAGGTAGCTCGATCTTCGAAGGTCTTTCTCTTGTTTTGTACATCCCTGTGTAATGAACCAAACTGGTTTGGATGGTGCAGACGGGATCTGTTTTTCCTCCTCAGGTTCCACAGGTGGTTGATGCTAGCTATTCTGGGTTCGTAGGCCGACTTTCGTTAGTGCGGGCTATGAGTGTACTGCAACTATGGGCTTTACAACGCGACTTCCAAGCGCTTTCTGTGTAGTTCCCGCCTACTGCTTTTCCATAGAGAAGTATCGAGTAGACTTGTGCCTGATCGGTCCTTAAAGGGAGCGATCCTAGTTATTTCAATCGGTCAACTGAACTA